AAGACTACAATATATAGGATAATTCAAAACGAGTGTAAAAAGCTTTAAGAATATTTGATTTTGCTTTTGCATTCATAATAATCTCTTCCTTTTTAAATGAGAAAATAATATATACCATATATATATATATATATATATATATATATACACACACACACATATAGTAGAATGTACTACTTAAGACTCACAAGGGAACGTCTTACATTGTTTAGGCTGAAATAAAAAGCGACTATTACCAATAGGTTAGGCATGTCTAAAGATGAAACTGTGCCAAATATTAATTCCCACTGTGTACCAGGATTCGAGTAATCAAGTTGCAAAAACGGTGCTGTGATGGTACATTTTGGAGTATTGTTGCGCCTACTTTAGTGACAATAAACAATTTATACAATAACTTTATATATATATATATATATATATATGTATATATATGTATATATACACATACATACGTGACCCACATGATAACAATGTATTGAAATTATACTTTATTGTTTTGTCATATTTTTGGATGACATTAAAGTTAAAATAATTTTGAAAAAGAATTTAATTACATACATACCATACTGGCCATTATTATTTACAACGTGTAGCTATTTAATGGGCAGCTTATCAATTCCAGGCGCAAGATTATTTTTATTTTTTTAATACAAGAATTCTAACACTGCATTATTAACACCATTATTTAAAAATTTTTCCATTCGAAAAATATTGTAAAGATAAAAACGAGTGTGATAGTCGGATGGCGCACTGTTAAGGTGGTTTAATTTTTTTAAATTCGTAGATCATACAATATCTCAAATGCACTTTGTCGACATGTATGTTTGCACATGAATTCAGCAACATTGCGCCATTCGACTATCACTCGTTTTTATCTTTACAAAATTTTTCAAATAAAAAAAATTTCAAAATAATGTTAAAAATGCAGTGTTAGAATTCTTGTATTAAAAAGATAAAAATTTTTTTGCGTCCGGAATTGATAAGCTGCCCATTAAATGGCTAGATGTTGTAAATAATAATGGCCAGTATGGTATGTATGTAATTAAATACTTTTTCAAAATTATTTTAACTTTAAAATTTTATCCAAAAATACGATAAAGCAATAAGGTATAATTTCAATGCATTGTTATCATATGGGTCATATGTATGTATGTATGTATATGTGTGTATATATATATATATATATATATATATATATATATATATATAATGTGTATATAAAGTTACTGTATAAATTGTTTATTAAAAATAAAAACTGTTGATCTCGGCTCGAATTATTGTGTTACAATAAAAATGAAATATCGACGGCAATCGGAGCCTGTACGGATGTCATGCACAAAATTAATAAATTGAAATGAGATCTCAAATAAAGCTCATTTATTAAATTCTAAACGTTTCGACCCACTTCGGGTCTTCTTCAGTAGAATCCGCAAAACAAATTAAATGTTAATCTCCTCCCTAAATTGTCACTAAAGTAGGCGCAACAATATCCCAAAATATACCATCACAACACCGTTTTTAGAACTCGATTACTCGAATCCCGGTACACAGTGGGAATTAATATTTGGCACAATTTCGTCTTTTGACATGCTTAATCTATTGGTAATAGTCGCTTTTTATTTCAGCCTGGACAATGTAAGAGGTTCCCTTATCAACCATAACTTCAGTTTAGAAGATAGGAAGAAACGCTTGATATAAAAAAAATTGTGTAGTATCGAGAGGAATATTTTGTAAAGATAAACATTTTTTCCCAAATAGAATAAATGCTTAGGAGATTTAAAGATCATCCTTATTTTTTTCAATAGAATCATGCAGTTTTAAACACTTACGATTAAATACTTTTTCCAAAACAATTTCAAGATCATCGATGTTCATGAAAAAAGTTAAAAAATAAAAATTTATGAATGTTTTCAAAACAGAATATACGCAATTTTATTAATTGAATCAAACTGAAATGTTATTATTTATGTTTGATATATTGTGATCTGATACTTATTTCATATACTTATTCATTTACAAAAGTTAATCAATAATTTAAACTACAGATGTTCAAAATGATGATCTATTTAAACGAATCTGTGGACTGTTATCATTTTTAACATCTGTAGTTTCAATTATTGACTAACTTTTGCAGCATTACAGATTATTTGAGAAGATTCTGAATCAAAAATATTACATAAACATAGATTCTTTAGTATTTACATAATAACCTTAACAGATAGTGTACAATGTTGAAATAAACACCCGTGAACAATTATATAAAAAAATATTAATGCAACAAATGAAATTTGTATAAATAATATATTGTGTACATGATTCCTTGATTCGTCGATACAATGCAGGTAATTATCAAGACAGGACCTTTATGTTTTTATAACATTTTTTTATGTTTATATAACATTTTAGTCCAAATTATCTCCACAATTTTTAAGAAGTATCCAACAATTAATAACAAAATTTTATAATAAAAATTAATATTTTTCATACAAATTAGCACATACTAAAACTTTAGAAAATATTTTTTTCCATAAAAAAAATCAATATCATCTTAAATTTTTTAAATGGAACAACTCTTTTAATTTTTACATACATTGATTCCTTATTATTAAATATATTCGATATAAAAAGTTATATAGTAGTAGGCTGACTAAAATGTGAATAAATTAACAATAGAGATGTGTGATGAATCGCCAGATAGAATTAAAAATAAACTCTCTTCTCTCGACCATACTGGCAAATTTTATTAATTCACTTCACAACGTTTCGACTATAATTTTAGGTCCTTTTCAAATGATCTATAATCATGTACAGAAAAATTAATCAAAATTATAAAAAAAAATACAAAATCATAAAAGAAAGAAATTAAATAAATACTTACGAAATGTAATTAAAATCTTAAGAAGTAAGCGAGTGAGTACATTGTGTCAAATAGACATCGTGTCAAGTAATCGAACAGAATTCGAGAGACTAAATAAACTTTATTATTTTGTCATAAATGTTATTTAAATTGTCAGTGTCCTTTTGTAAGTTGATCGTGTTTTTATTTTTTTTAATTTATATTTTATTTATATTTTTTTTTATATTAAATTCATACAATCATAAATTTAAAGATATAAGACAGGCAATAAGAGCCAACTCGCGGATGACAGTGCGTTATCCTAACAAAACTAAATTTTTCGTTAGGATTAAGTATCTGTGCACAAGGCACCAAATTTTACTTGGTCACGGCCAAGATTTAAAATATGAAATAATCTCATATATTTGAGATTTAATTTCAATAACCCTTTCACCCCCCTACGGAAATAAGTAAATGCAAGAGAAAAATATAGATCCGAAAGTCGCTGAATCGGGAAGAATTCCCGAATATTTTGTGTTAAAATTGTTTGTGTTATTTTAATTGATCCTTTGTATATTCTATTTTAAAAATCTAAAAAATTTTGATATTTATCTATTTTTTTAATAAATATTTATTTACCTATTTGTGTGTTATATATAATTACAAATTTATGCAACTTGCTGAATTTTAATCATAATGCTCTTAGAGTTATTATTACATAGTACAAAATCATACACAGTATATATATATATGCATGTATTATAAATAATACACTTTCTCGAAGAGTTTGCGGAATGATTAATAAAATAAAAATCTCAGCGCATTACGTTTACTATTATTTTTAGTTTAATGATATTTTTATTAAATTATTTTTTAGTTGGTCTTTTTGCAAGGCTCGATCACTAGTAGACGATATATGGGATAATCTTGAGACAAAACGTACATTTAATCTACAGACAAAAGATATGTGTACGATATTCATTGATTATCGTATTCTCCAATTACTCCTTTACTTAGAAATGCGCTACAGTGACACGCTCGTGAAGAGATTTGAAAATAGCAGTAAGATTTTGAACATTAATTTTTTTTATGAGTAACAAATCTCTAATTTTTTATAAATTCTGTTATTCTACATACTTATAATTGTCATATCTTTTTATACAAGTTTATATATAAAATCAATCTTATCGAAAATCTTTAAAATAATTTTTTTCAATATTTAAATAGATATTAAAAAAAATAAATTAAAATTTTACCATACATATAATAATTATTTTTTGAAATACTAATTATATAAAAACTTCAAATATTTTTTATTCATATTTTACAAAACAATTGTTATAATCAATAACTTGTTGAGTTAAAATTATTTTTCATTTTAAGATATGTTTATCTTCAGATAAATTTGAAAAATAATCAAAAACTTATTTCGCGAAAATAAAATTCAAAGAGTAGCTTGAAAATAATTAATTTAGAATATTAAATTCAAATTGAATATTTGAATGTTAAATTTTGAATATTAAAAATATTCATTTGAATATTAAAATGGAAAGGGCAACTAATTACATGCAACATAGTTTTTTGAGTAATTATATATTCACGAACAATAAAATTGAGATAAAATAATAAATTATAGTAATAATTAATATTTAATTATGCCATATATATCCAAAAGAGATTTTTTATGATTAGGATACTAACATTTTGAATATACAGAATTTTGAATATACATATATAATATTATCGAAAATTTGCGTAGATAGATAAATAAAAACGCAATGTGTGTATGTGTGTGAAGATTTTATCAACAAAATACAATTTAAATTAATTTTTATTTCTATATGAAATTTTTGCAAAAACGATTTTTCCTCAGCGAAAATGATGAAAAAGATCATCATTTTTTAATGTTCCCAATTTTTGAAATCATGTATCTATGTAACTAGCCTTAAATCAAAATTCTATTACAGTAAACTTTATCTGAAATTAACTAAAAAATGTAGTTTTGTTAATAATTTATTTTTACAAGGCTTAGTTTACAAAAAAGCTTTTATTTTCAATCATTTATAACTCAAAAATTATACTTTATAATTATGCACAGTATGCATTTAATATATTCTTTAGCTTACATTTATGTTAATATTTATTTATATTTTTCTTTTATTAGACACAGCAGATGAGGCTTTTCACGATCCATTGCGGTATCAGAAATTCCCATTGCCTGGTAGAAAGCCTTTGAACATATTCGTCGCGAGCCTGGTAGAACCCGGAAAGAGCGAGCTTTTGGTATCATTCGTGGAGGTGCTAACAGAAGATCTTTCGGAAGAGGTGGTGCCAGAGGCAAAAGGTTTGTGTTAATTATAAAATTGATCTACGCACTTTTAAGGCTGCGATATTTGAATAATCAAAATTTTGAGCTAGTCGCATTACGCCGCAATTTAAATCTTTTTGTGTGTGGGTGGGAGGGCTGAGTCGACGTCGGCTCAAAATAAAAATATTAAAACGAGAAATATTAAATCGAGAAATATTAAATCAGTCTTTGTGGCAGAATTAAGAGCTTTTTACGAGCTTCCAAACTGATATAGTTTCGATTTTGAGGCTCAACTCTTTAATTCCCAAACGAGTTTTTAAATGATGAGAGAAATTGTTTTTGCGCAATGATATTTATGACTGGTTTTTGTAGGTTCTAATGAATTTCCCTTATTATAGTAATCTGTTTAATGAACGCAAAATGACTATTAATATAGATAATTGCAAATTCTTTTAGGCGTTAATACGCATACTTAATAGACTGCACAATTTTTATTCGATTTTTTTATTTCAATATTTAACGTTGATATATTATTTAATTTAGTCGAGATTTTCACAATTTTCTTATACTTATTTTCTATACTTTCCGATCTATGGTTTTTAATATGGTTTTTAATTAAAAAATATCCTAATTATTATTTCTTTCAAGCAAATATTTCTTGTCTTACTTAAATATAGGGATAATTATCATTAAATCAACATAGATCTCTTTATGACTGTCTTGGTCACATGCGGACGATTTACCTGATTTTGCTGCTGATTTTGAATATTTTCCTTGTCGGGTTACTCTTAATTTTGTTTCTCGAAGGATTTTATTCAAAACGGTGTATTTATCGTACAATTTCCCCGATGCACATTTTTTTCCTCCTTTTCCTGATGGCACGTAATAGGTATTCTCCTGTTCTCCGGGAAAGGTTTCTACGATAAGTTGAACCAATGTGGTGAATCGTTCACCAGAAATTTGTGTATTGGTGTCAATCCTATATTTATTTTCAATAACCTCATCTACTAAAATTGCTTTATAAATTGCCAAAATTAATTTATATATGTAATATATATATATATATATATATATATATATATATATATCATAAAAGACTTTATACCTATTAATTTTCTTATTTTTGGGCATAAAATCACTTCCCGAGCGATTAGAACACTTTATAAACTAAATATATATATATATATATATATATATATATATATATATAGTGTTTTTAACGCATTTCGAGAAAACTTTAGTTCTTACAAACATAATGTCAAATATAATGTCTACGATATTTATTGATTATCGTATTTCTCAATTATTACAAAAGTTTAAAGTTATACGCTACAGTGAAGCACTCGTGGAGAGATTTACAAATAGCAGTAAGATTTTTTACAATAATTTCTTTTTTATAAGTGACAAATCTTTGATTTTTTATAAATTCTGTTCCTTTCTTATATTTATAATCTTACAAAATAATATATTTCAGTAATTTGATGAAATAGTTTTTTTAGTGTAAAACATATAATACCATAACGAACACAATAATTATATTTTTGATAGGTTTTTTGATGACAGATTGATCCGATTTATGACGCGGTTGTTTTTCTTTGAAAAACATATAAAAACGATATAACTATTTGTTGTGAATTTCAATATCGATCGATCTAGAATATTCTGGAATATTCTATTCGCGTATAATATTTTATTATGCGTATAATATTCTATTATGCGTTTTAAACATTCTCGCCCGCCTTGTCGCGAAGTGACAACATGTTGGTGAATTTCGGCCGCGGAATCGCAAGTCGATAGCGATCGATGATGGGGTAGACGCGCGCCGGCGCGGCGAGATACACGTGATGATCGCGTGAAACGTGAAACGATCAGCTGAGTCGATGAAAACACGTGGTGATGTGAAATGGCGAGTGTGTAGTGCAGTGCGCGGCGATAATGAGATAATTGTGAGTGCGGTGGTGGATGAGACGAATGAGGTGCGACAAATATTACGGTGGATGATGTGATGATTGTGTAGTGAGTGATCGAGTGCAGTGTTCGGGGTGATCGAGAAATGTTTACGTGCCGGCGGACGGCGTGTCCGCGTTATTTACGCCCGGAATGCGATCCGCGCCCAGAAGCATAACGAGCTTGACGAGCGGGCGCACGAGTTCGGAAGTGGCGGTGCGGATTGAGACCACGCGGACGCTTTCCTTGTCGCAAGTTATTGGATGATGGTTAGGTATATCATATAGGTTTAATTAATTTTCAAAAAATCCTCGCCTTACATAGGCCCCCATTAAAATTTGCTTAGGGCCGCATATTAGGTTAATCCGGCACTGATTGTTATGTACCTTGGGAATAATCTTAAGAATCTATTTACATAAAATTTATGTATTTCATATATCATCCCGCAAATGGCCATAAAGAGTGTCGCTTGTTGACGTCGTCAGTTCTTGTCCGTCTTTTAAAGAGGTAACATCACAACCGATACACTCTCAGCTAAGGTGATTCGGCTCGTGATTCTGCAAACAGATAAAACAATGTAAGTCAAATACAAGAATTTAGATATTTCTATTAAATATAATAATATAAAAATAAGTAAAGATTTCACTCTATCAGAGTTCTCGGTTTCTAAAAGATATTTTATTCAATATTCATAAAAGCATTATGATATATATTTCTCAGATAAATTTTATTTATAAAGTGTTCTAATCGTTCGGGAAGTGATTTTATACTCAAAATAAGAAAAAATTAATATGTGTATGTATATATATATATATATATATATATATATATATATATATGTGTATATTGATTATATTTCTTCAAAATTTATTTATGTAATAGGTATAATGTCTTTTACGATATATATATATATATATATATATATATATATGTACCACATATTTATCTAACTTTCTTAATAACAATTTTTTATTAACTGTTTCAAACGCTCTTTTAAAATCTAAAAATACCACTTCTATCATTTCGCTATTATCCATATTTTCTCTCCATTCGATAATTGTGCTTTGTAATGTCGTTTCGCATAAGAATTTTTCCCTAAAGCCTGATTTCTATATTTTATTTATATTTTTTGCATTTATATATACATATATATATATATATATATATTTGAATTATTTTTCTTTTTTTTAAACATTCAATAGTTGATACTAAACCGTACGTGATGAACTGAAGTGCGACGTAAGCGCACAGCTTGCAACGTTGTCAAATATAATTCCTTAAAAGTCGCCATTAAAAACATTTACGTTTCGACCCCAACTTAGATCCTCTTCAGACTTTAACGCAAATATAATGCAACAAAAATATTAATTGTAACTTCGCATTTATAATCCTCTTATTAGTATTTATCCAACTCTTGAGAAAATCCGTGTAGAACGTTCCAAATTGGATAGAAATATTTCGGAAAAAAAAGTACCCATTGTAATTTGGCACTGCAAGGCAGCAATTCTATCTCAATCAAAAAGTACTTTCTGAAGATATGAATGTTTTGTGGTGTCGAAGTAACCTCTTTTATTTTCAGTGAGTTTGTTATCGTACTTGCCGTCTTTACCGTATTTAAATCGTCCTCCAATGGCCAGACAATAATTCTGTAATTTATACACGCGGGTTGAATAATGCGTTTCTTCAATTATGTTAACCACTTTCAATTATTCGAACTTAATACTATATATATATGGACACATTTCAGTCCTTATATATAGGGCATCCTAGAGCAATGGATCAATTTAAATTATACTCAGTGTATGATTTTGTAATTGGAAATTTTATTTTATAGAATTGTAATTTGTAACTTTTATACTGTAACAATGAGGTAATAAAGTAATTTTAAATTATTTACTCGTTGAGGCTTTAAAATAAATAAGGACATTATTAAAATTTGAAGAAAAAAGAGATGTTTCCTAATATTTTTATTAATGTTTTTATCGTTTTACTAATAGTTTTATCGCAATAAATAATAAAATACAATTTGCTTTTCCATTTTCCATATGTGAAGGAAAAAAGAAAAAAAAAGAAAAAAAAGTATATACTTCTCATTGTTTTCTTATCAGTTGTAGTAACAGGACAAACAAGATGTATTTTCTCTCGTTATTTATAAATGATTCATTTGAGTTATATGTAAATGGTTTATACAAATGCTTTTTGTCAAGTTGTATTAATAGATCGATTGACATCTCGTCATAATTAGATAGATAGATACGTTTGTTGCTGTCCCTTGGGAATTGCAAGGTGCTTTTTCAAAGAGCGAACCTTTTACATAGCTCTAGCTTTTCCTTTGCCCTGGCCATGTGTGATTTTACAATTAACTAACTCTTTACCCCACATCATACAGTTCATTCTCTTCGTCCTCCCTTCCTCTGGACATTCAACTTCATTCTATATATCCTGCCCTCTTCCTCTTCTCAATTGTCTTCCAATGCCTTCTCCTTCTCCTTTCCTTTCCTTTTGTCTCGTCATAATTATTAGATCGAATATTGTCATAATAAAGTTTATAAATTATATAAGTTATATAATTTCTAAATCTTCTCACACAACACTTTTGCCTCCTTTTATACAGCTAAATTTTTTATTCCATTCTTCACTCCATTCTTCACTATAACATATATGTAAAATTTTCTTATTCTGTTCTGTTGAATTTGTTTTATAAATGCAAAAATATAAAAATTAACAGTATATATTACATCCTAATATTTTCTAATTTTAGGAACTTAAAATATAACACTATTATGAGTATTTCTGATGAGTGATTCATCACAATTATATTGACTCATTAGCACACTTTAAAAAATTTTAGTTTACGAATTTTTAGTTCAACACAATTAAATTTTTATATTTAGATTATTTTTATATAACATTATTATACCTTATTATACATATGTATAACAGTTTTTATAAGTTGTTTATTATATAGAAAATATATATTCTGATATTTCTCACTATCTCTCTCTTTAAAAAAAAAAAGATATAAATAATATTATTTTGTGCATTATTAATTTCTATATTATGTATATAATTTATATTTTATAAAAATA